ATAAAGACCATAGAATGCTTTACCTTCTTCATTCGTTTTCTGATTTATATATTGCTACTGTCCAGGATTTTATCTTAATTTTGAACCCCCTGAATTAGACATTGGTGTTTATGTTTCATACTATCGATTTTTGTGTTCCCACAAGTTTAATATTCTTTTTGGCCCACCATTCCTTCTTGCCATTCATACCTTCCTTCCTTATAGTTCAGAGAGGATGCTACCCTTCAATGGTACTAGATTGATGTGGGGATTTTGGATCCAATCTCCCACTCTGCTTGAGCCCTAGGCTTTGTCTCCTATACTCTTAAGTATAAAGCCTTTGTAAACCAAGTTCCTCCCAGCCAGGTGCCAGCACGTGCCCTCAAGGCAAACTTAGAGTTTGCTTACTTGTAGAATCAAGCATCCTTGTCATTTCAACCTGAGTGTTTCCCTTCGTTTCCTGCCAGCTCAACCTTGCTTTAAGCAAATATTTTAAATATATTATCCAGCATTTTTAGATGATCTGACCAGGAAGTTTTTCCCGGCAAATATTCTGTCTTGTTCCCTAAATATCCTTAGGTAACTGTTTTAGTATTCATATTCTTTGAATTGATTTCATATAATGGTTTTACTTACTGTGTATGCTCCATTAGTGAAAAATGTAACTGAAAAAGCCATTTAGAAATCAAATTGGTTAACAACTTTTTTAGTCACAAATGATTTCTTTTTGCCTGTCATATATATTTATTGCATAAGTTAAGAACCATTCCAAAAGCTAAGAATAATTTCCAAAACACTACCTTTTTTTTCCTGAACTCTAAGTATAAATATTGACTCCAATATAATGTATATTTCCCTTCAACACCTTACCATAAAAATTTTCAAACATCTAGGAAAGTTGAAAGAATGTATTTACCACCTAGATTCTATCATCATTTTATAATATTGTTTTATCACATATCCATCCATCTCCCTTTCTATCAATTCATCTTACTTTTTGTTGCAGTGCAAAGGAAAATGCAGACATTAGTAAATTCTGCCTCAAATATTTCACTTGGTATTTTTAGTTCTAAGCAATAAAGCTCCCTTTCCCAACATTGTGCTTACTATTTTATAAGAATTGAAAAGCATGACTCTGTGCCATAATCACCTAATACCATTTGAGTCAAAAAACAGTAGTCTTACAGTTAAGAGGGGAAGTTAAGTAGAAAAAATTAATTTTAATCCTTTATATTTCCATATCAGTAAAATAAGCTTCATATGTGGCACATTTACTTGAAATGTTTGCCCTTTTATTTCATCAATATCTAGGAGTTCCTATTACAGTTTCTATTTACTTATAATGAAAAGCTCTTACTTGTTAACACTTTCCTATTCAGTAGTTCTGGAGGACTATTCAATTTCCTGAAGACAGAGAAATGAACAACCAACTTCTGAACTTAGCTTAGACAGTTGAATTTACCTTCTGTGATATTGTGATTTATAATAAGAAATATATATTTGGTCTGTGTCCCATTCCTGGCACAGAGCCCCTAAAATCCTTAGAATTTCCTAACCGAAAGGAAAATCTTTTGTTATTCATAACAAGTCCCTTTCAGCCCATCTGAGTTTATATTACAGAGAAGACTTTGTGAAAGCCCCTAGGCTGGGGGCTGTTGTCAGTGGAATCAAGCACACAATTAGAAGATTGGAAATTTCAGTCCCACCCCCACACCTGGGGCTGGGGAGAGGGGTTAGAGGTTGAATTATTACCAATGGCCAATTATTTAATCAATCATGCCTATGTAATGAAGCCTGCATAAATATCCAAAAGGACTGGGTTGAAAGAGCTTCCAAACTTGGTGAACATGTGGAGGTGCTGGGAGGGTGGCATTCCTGGAAAGGGAAAGAGGCTTCACATCCTCTCCCATATAACTTGCCCTATGCATCTCTTCATCTGGCTGTTCACTTGTATTCTTCAAAACATCCTTTAAAATACCAGCAATAGTAAGTAAACTGCTCTCCTGGGTTCTGTGAACCTGAGGAAGGAAGGGGTAGCAGGAAACTCCAATTTGCAGCCAAATTGGACAGAAGTTGTGGGTAACCCGGGGACTTACTACTTACAAATGGCAGCTGAAGTAGGGATACTGGGACTGTGGGACTGATCCTTTTATATGTGGGGTCTGTGCTAACTCTGGCTAGTGTCAGAACTGAATTGAATTGTAGGACATCTAGCAGGTGTCAGAGAATCGGTTTGTGTGGGAAAAAAACTCCCGCCTATCTGGTTTCAGAAGTGTGAATATGAGAGTAAAGGAAAACACACTGAATTTTTTTTTAGACACCTTCTATAGATAGATGTCTTCCAGCTTAATGATTTTATGAATTAGACTGCATCATCTATTTAAAATTTTACTACAGTAAACATTTTATTTAGCTATCATATCAATATTGTACCTCTGCTTTCTATCTTCAATGTTAGGAGCATGATTTACATTTATAGGAAGCATTTCTTTATGAAAATTTATCACTTTGAACACATACAAAAAGGTGTCAAGAAAGGACATGAGAAATAAGTTTTAAAGTTTAGATTCATTTGGATTTGGAGGAAGGCTGTCAAGATAACTTAAGAAAAGACAAAAAGATCCGTGGTCTTCCTCTAATGTCAAGATAAAAACAAAATTATATGCAAAAATATTTTAATAACCCACATAAATAACTGTCAATTATCACAAACTCATACTATGACCTCACACTTTATATGCTGTATGAAATTAAAATCAGTGTAATATTTTATTCCTTATCAAAAGAGCCTAATCTGGACTCAGGCAACCTCAGTCCTCAGCTTTACCAATTAGTGACCTTAGGTACATCCCTACTCTGCATGGTGCTCTTTTCTTCATCTTTAATTTAAAATTCTTTATGATGGTCTTTACTGTTTAGGACTTATTCCATTATCTAATAACTTTTTTAGAGTATTATACTGGCTAGACAAGGTGTGGGTTGTAATGCAATTCTAGCACTCTGCAAATACAAAAAAGTATTTGGCCTGCTCCTCTTTCCCTAAGTAGGAGAACTTCTTGGCAGCAGATTAAACAAAAAAATAATTCCAATTTAAGCTATTTCATTTAATTTCTTCTAAACTTACTCTTCTTTTTTCATAATGTTATACATGGCCTACTGTCAAAAGAACTAATAAACACTCATTGTAACTGAAATAATTGCAAAGCATGCAAAAAAGAAAACGTGAAAAACACAGTACACCCCAAGGAAAAACATTCAATTTCAGGTATAACCACACAGAAAAGCTAAAGTCTAATAATAATGACAACAACAACAATAATAGTCACCTCTTCAGAATACATTCCAAAAAATAATTAGAAAGTATACTGCATTTGAGGAAAAAATTAATGAACAAAAAATTGCACATTAGTAGAATGTGTGAACATCAGCAGGATATGAGCATCCTAGGGCCCAGCATTATGAAATGCAAGGCTCATGCACAACTAAATCACTGCATAAAGTCAGAGAAGCCAGACAGAGAGGCCACCAAGAATATGCCTCCAAAACATCTGTTTCATTCAAATTAATCTTTTGGGGCTCTTCAGGCAGGAGGTGAATTCATTAGTTTTCCCCAGAAACAAGGAAAACAAAATATAGTCAGAGCAAAGAACAAAGCCCTACATCCAAATAAATGTGACACCAGCCCCAATATTTTTGGCATATGTAGAAAAATGCCTCATTCAGTATGAAGAGTTTCTTGAAATATGCTAAAGTCATTCAGATAAAAAGGCAAGATTCAATCACAGATTGTAATTCAAGCAATATATTAACATTTCTTAGTTTCTAAAAAGACTGTTTTCCAAAGGTTTCCCTGTTGGGTAAAGATTAAAGTGCCACTTAATAGTTTATTTATTTGTCAAATGATAATACCCTCTTACAGAGTTGTTCTGAGAAAAAAAGGAGAGACTATACATGAAATTGCTTGAAAGAGTTAAAAAGAACTATATCAGATTATAAATGAAATCAAAACTCTACATTCAACTAGACCTAATACTTCCTTTTGGTACATGAAGTTGGTAATTCTATTACTTCTTGTTATAAAACACATCATATATAAAAGTATAGAACATGTATATTCAATTAAAAGAATAATAATTTTAATGGACCCTGATATAATTCCCTCTCATCTTAAAAAATGGAACATTACTAATACCTTGGAAGCTCCCATGTGCCTATTCCTATCATATTTCTCTTAACTCACCCTACACTATCCTAAATTTTGTGCTAATCACTTCCTTGCTTTTATTTATAGCATTGACACATTTATATGTATCCCTAAACTATCTAGCCATCATCTATCTATTTCCATCCATTCACCTTCCTTCCTTCCATCCATCCATCCATTTTTTGAACTTTATGTATATGGAATATGCTATATGTACTTGCCCTTCAACTTCTATAGTCTTTTACTCAGAGTGATTTCTTGACATTATTATCTAATTTTTCATATAATCCCTAAGATTAAAGAAATATATTATACCCATTTAAAGCAGAGAAAATGAGGCACAGTGAGACTAGGAACTTGCCACATTATATGAGAGGACAATGGACAAATCTTTCTACAGTAATTCTGAAAGTAAAGCAAACCAATGACTGTCTCAGAGCTTTATAGCACATTCATATTTTTAGCTTCAATTAAAACTAAAACATTTCTCTAGTGCTAAGAGCACAATTAAGTTAATACTTTAAAACTGACTTTACCCCCCAAAAATTGACTTTACATAGTATTGTTTGCTTTCATATTAAAGGGGAAGTTATATTCAAATGTACTGATGATGTAAAAGCCCTAAACAATATTCAAATATATTCCTTAAAAGGAAAACAAGAACAAATTAAATAAAGAATATCAAGATTTGTTTTTTTTTTCCCTTAGGAAATGGACTATCAGAAAACAGCCATATTATGAAATATTCTAATTAAAGAAAATGACTCATTAAATAGGTAATTAGTCTGACACTTATCAATTCCAAGATATTGTTCACCTGAGCAAGTGATGGAAGAATCTTCTTGCATATTTGCTGATTTCGTCTCTATATTCCAATATAGTTGTATCCAGGAGTGGTCTTGTTGGAGCATAAAAGGTTCCAAGGCTTGCCTCAAGCTGTGCTGTGGAATTCAAACATAGCAGCACTAAAACAAGTGAAACTCCTTCAATTACAACAGAATACTCATGTTTGCAGTCAGTCAGGTTTTGCAAACTTGGATGAAATGTGAGCTTGTTGCAGGAAAGATAAAATTAAAATATGACAGCTGGTACAAAAACAAACCTGTGTATAAACTTTCACTTGAGGCAAAGCTGACAATGACTCTGAGCAACAAAAAGCTGTCAAAACTGAAGAAATCCATAATGAACCAACCTCTCACCACAAATGGATAATTAAAACAGTGACTCATCAAAGTAACACAGTTTGAACTAGTATTTCCAGTAAAATCAACTCACAGTGTGCTCAACATTTACTCTAACTGAAAGGAGAAAACAAACTTTTACATTGGGAATTGAAATAAATAGTAGAAGTGTTTTTGAAATAATACAAATGAAAATAGCCCTATTGGAGTAATAATACCTTTCTAAGATAATTTTAAAGAAACAGTGAAAGTCCCCATGCCTTCCCTAAATCTCATCCTAAAAAACAAGATTGTTGGTTTTGTCCAAGTGTGAAAGCTAATACCCCTGGGAGGGATGACATGCTAATCCCCTCTTGGTCAACTGACACCTTCCTAGGTAAAAAGGATTGGAGAGCAAGTTTTGATAAACTAGAGATTGGGAGAAAAAGGCACATTTTGCCTGCTTCAGGATTTTACCAAGCCATGCCTTTGGGGTTGTGTTTTCTCCCAGAAATACCTAGAAGTTATATAATTACAGTAATGGTGAGAGTTGTATGAGAACACTACAGTTCACAGTAAGACTCCATTGATTTTTATGCTACCAGTGCTGGATTGAATAAACAATTCCTTATTTAGCAAAACTCTTTAGTTTTAGGCATATTTAGGTTTGAAAGTATTAAATACCTCATCAGAGTAATTGCTATGGACTTGGCTAAGTTGTTAGTAATTTCTTTTTTTTTTAAATCTCAAATCTAGACAGTAAAGTAAGATGAACTTTAGGGGTATTTTCTTTCAAAGCAGCAGTCAATTTAGATTAAAATTGAATACAGCAATGCTATTGTGAAAACAAGCCAGATCCTCTTGCCATTGCTTGTTTTCTTGACAGCATGTACTTCTGAAATGTTTGAGCCTACATGGAATACTCATAACTCCCAGCACAGTTACAGATTCATTAGATAGCCCAGCTTGATGTTTAAGGCAGAAATGAAGATCTCAAAGATAACCACAACACAGCCACAAATAAAAGAGCTCACTGGGTTCCACTAATAAAAGGAAAACAAATTACCATGTCAAATTTGTTAGATTCAGATAGAATAAATCCCAAAAGAGAATTCTGAATGTTTTAGATATGTATTTTAAAGTTACTTGGGGAATAACACATACACCTACTTAAAATGTACCTATTCTGATAACCCAGTATCATGCAAGTGTTTTAATAGCGTGGTATCATACAAGCTTTTTATTTCCCTATCTTCCCAAAATGGTTCCTTGAAAATATCTTTTATTAAAGCAAGAATCTGATAATGCCCATTTGTGAATTCCCTAATAATCTTTCTTACAACACAAATTCACCGAGGTGCTAGCAATTTCTCAGTGTCCTGAGTGACAGTCAGTATTTTATCTTCTCTACGATTCTCCAACTGTAAATTTAGGATCTCTTGTATAGATTGTGTATACCATAACAGGCTTTCTTTATGGACTCTGCCTTTTTTTTCCTACTATGTACCTAAGCTTGAGAGTGTACCAATATAAGAAATAAATACTTGAGATAACTCTGTAGGCAGACATATTACAGTAATATCTAACATTTTGAAGTTATACTCTTCTTTTTATTTTTAACTAATATTCTTTGAGTACCTACAGAAGGCCAAGCACTGTCTGTGCTAGGCATTTTCTCACTGTAGAAATACTGGACCCTCCATAGATGGATTGGACTACCTCCAAAAAGCACATTCAATTAACATTAAATAAATATTTATTGCGGGCCTCCTGTGAGTTGGTACAAGTCCCATGATGTGAACTTCCTGAAGGAACATGCCCTCTAAAATGACTACAGTGAAGGTTATGTATAGAATTTTATTTAAACACCGTGTTTACTTTGGAAATGTAATAAAATGGAGTAAGAATGGGGCGCCTGGGTGGCTCAGTCGGTTGAGCGTCTGCCTTCAGCTCAGGTCATGATCCCAGAGTCCTGGGATTGAGCCCCACATTGGGCTCCCTGCTCAGCAGGGAGCCTGCTTCTCCCTCTCCCACTCCCCCTGCTTGTGTTCCCTCTCTCACTGTGTCTCTCTCTGTCAAATAAATAAATAAAATCTTTAAAAAAATAAAATAAAATAAAATGGAGTAAGAAAATCTATAAACTTTCAAAGAAAATAGGAAAAAAAGCTCTCCAGCAAAGACCTTTTGACATATTTCCTGTTTTCTCTATCTTGTAAATTACCTAGGGAAAGTTTCTCATTGGCCAGGACTTATCATTAATGTCAATGATTCTTGCAAAGATTTGAAATAAAGATACAAGTGCAAGAACATTTAGGTGCATTTTACATTAAGTAAATAACTTACAATAAAAATAACATATACTGGATAATTAACAAATATAAAAATGATTTTCATTATTTTATGTGGCACATTATTCCCCCCCCCTTTTTTTAAACAGTATCCTATCTGAGGGGTGCCTGGCTGGCTCCAGTTGGTAGAGCATGCAACTCTTGATCACAGGGTCATGAGTTCAAGCCCCATGTTGGGTGTACAGCTTACTTAAAAAAAAAGAGAGAGAGACAAAACAGTGTCTTATCTGAGATTCTATGGGCAGAATGACTTGCTGAGGGAAAGTAGAGAAATCAAGCAGGCAGAGGGGTATCAGAACTACCAGTTAGAATGAAAACAAAGAGCAGCTGGCTGAGCTACAATTCTCAATCTCTCTCTCTCTCTCACATACACACACACAAAGACACACACACACACACAAAATCAGTGGTAAGGACTATTCTCTGGACAAAAGACTTGGGATAGGAGAGAAAAATATTTATGAATAAAGTGAAGGAAGAATAAGGACTTTTGTTTGGGGCCCTTTGTATACCAGACCCTAGAGAATACATGTAATTCTTTTTTTTTTTTTTTAAGATTTATTTATTTATGTATTTGAGAGAGAGTGTGTGTGCATATGCAGGGGGAGGAGTAGAGGGGGAGACAGAGGGACAAGCAGACTCCGCACTCAGTGTGGAGCCCAACACCAGGCTCCATCTCACCACCCTGAGATCATGACCTGAGCTGAAACCAAGAGTCAGACAGTTAACAAACTGAGCCACCCAGACACCCCAAGAGTACATGAAATTCTTGATTAAAGTTTGAAATTTGAGCATATTCCACACATGAACTTAGACTGAAATGTACAATGACTGTATTGTGAGTTCCAACATAGATACATACAAAAATGTTACTCTTTATATTGACAAATACTCTAAAGTACCATATAATTATTTGATATCTGATCTTGTCAGTTTTAATAGGGCATTAACATTTTTGTCTTTCAATCTCCAATAACATAACTCAAAGAAATCCTCAAAAGATAACTGACTCAATAAAATGTACTTCATATATATATAAAATCCATTTATGAAATATATTTCATGCTGACCTTCTCTCTCTGGAGTGAGTTTTTGTCTAAGAAGATGGTTTACAATGGCACTCATGCTGATAAAGCACTGGTGACCCAGAGTGTCCCAGTTCATACTGCTCAGGATGTTTATTGCCTCATAGATCTCATCACAGTGAATGTGATGGAAAATGGTGTCTGTCAGGCCCAGCTGTCCTCGTGTGAAGATACCTGTCACAAAAAAAGTAAAACCAAGTGATTGTTTTAAAAATAAAAAATAGACTAACAAAAACAGAGTTAATACCTCCATAAAGGAAAAAAAACAGTAATCATTTCTTGCATAAGTGCTAAAAATGTGGGATTGGCAAGGCCAGTAGTGATTCTGTGGTTAAATCTTCATTTTAAATACCAGCTACCAACCAACTCCATCTATCTCATGCCTATCATTCAGCATTAATTAATTTACACTCCACATAATCAAACTGCTTACACTAAAAATGCATAAACATGAGAAGAATGTTTAGGGAGATGACAATAGCTAACTCTATTTTTCTCATCAGTTGTTGGGCCCCTGTGGTATAGATTTAAAGACAGGTTTTTGATGTGAACACAATTCTTATTGACCAGCTTCATCAGTTCTAAGTTGTTTCTAGTTGTCAGCCCCACATACTTTGGTGTGGGTGTGAGTAAATACAAATATCCATGATAAATATAACTATATAAATACTTTTAAGTCTGTTTTATTAATGGGTACTCTCCATTGATAATTTTTTCATAGATACCACATACCAATTTATCTTAAATTGGCATTTAAAGACTATTCTTTTTTGTTTTGTTTTGTTTTTAAAGATTTTATTTATTTATTTGACAGAGAGAGAGACATAGCGAGAGAGGGAACACAAGCAGGGGGAGTGGAGAGGGGGAAGCAGGCTTCCCACAGAGCAGGGAGCCTGATGTGGGGCTCGATCCCAGGACCCTGGGATCATGACCTGAGCCGCAGGTAGACGCTTAACGACTGAGCCACCCAGGCGCCCCAAGACTATTCTTTTCTATTGAAGTAAGAAATGATCAGTATTAATCCTACTAGTGATACCCTTCACAACTAATATTTACTTTTAAATATTCTTGGTATAATATAAACACATTTGTTTACCCTCTTAAAATGAAAGAAAATCCACTTCTAATCTTAGAGGAACAAAACTACAAAAAAAAGTGGGTCATTTTGCTCTAATTTTATTTTATCATTTTTTATATATGCTTGATCTCATTTGAAACTAAGAATTTCTGTGTAATTAAATGACAGTAAGTATTAGGGCTTTTGAGCAGTTTTTTTTTTCCCCCTAATATTTCAAAAATGGCTGGCTATAAAATCTTTTTTCTTCAGCCAATGTTTACTGATTAGAGTGAGTCTTTAAAAACTTCTCAATATAAATAATCATAAAGCTAAATGAGAAAATGTATGTGAAATGATTTGTAAGCTGTAAAGTATACAAAATATTACTGCAATTCTTTTTATTACTATCATCATCATCATTTAACTGCAATAGTTATAGGTTTTAGGATTTTAAAAAGTACATTAGTTCATAACAAAGATGCCAAAATTCTTCATATTAACTTCAAGTCACATCAAAATGAGAATTTGTGCTATCTCTGACAGAATTCAACTTGAAAGGGAATCTGGGAAATTGCCCTGACTATACTAAGCAATAAAACCTCACTATTCTTTTTGTGTTGGTAGAATCAATGAATGGTACTACCCAAAAGCCTTCATGAGCCTGCAGTCAAGCACTGGAAGCCCTCATAAATCAGGGTGGTTCCTTGGCAGTAGATATTAATGTGTAGGAACTTTACAGGAAACCAAAAATATCTGAAATCTGTTGACTCCATCTATACCCTAAGCAATACTTCTAGCAAGAGAAGGAACAATCAAATTGTTCTTTATTTGTATTTATTTTATATATATTTATAATATATTTTATTTATATTATTTAATTTATAATATATTTTATTTATATTTATTTATAAATAATTGTTCCAAAGAAAAGGACACAAATACAAAGATATGAAAAATTGCAAAGTTTGCTTCTGAAATCATGCAAGCCAAAAGATGACAGCAAGACTTTTAAAAATGCTGAAATAAAAATGAATTAAACTAAAATTCCATACCTTTATAATAGTTGAAAATTCATGAAAAATAATAACAATCTTAAATGTACCTAATAGAGTTCTGAAATAATAAAGCAAAGAGAGAGAACTAAAAGAAGAAAAAGTCAAAACCACAATTATAATTGGAGATTTCAGCATTTCTCTCTCACTAATTGAGAGAACAGGTAAACAAAATCAGCAAAAATAGAAAATACTTGAAAAACACTATCAATGAATCTGACCTGACATTTATAAAATATTTCACCCAACAACAGCAAAATACACATTCTTTATACATGTGCATAGACTGTCAGCCAGGATGGGACATATTCAGGGGGATAAAAAAGCCTCAATAAATTTACTTGCTTTGAAATCATACAGAGTAGGTTCTCTGACCACAAGAGAATTAAATTAGATATCAATACAGAAAGATGTCTGGAAAATCTCCAAACATTTAGAAATTAATCAACATTCTTTTAAAAAAAATTATGATTTAGGGGTGCCTGGGTTGCTCAGTTGGTTAAGAATCTGACTTTGGCTCAGGTTTCAGGTCATGATCTCAGGGTCCTGCAATGGAGCCCTACACTGGGCTCCCTGCTCAGCAGGAAGTCTGCTTGTCCCTTTCTCTCCCCCTCTGTCCCTCACCCTACTTGTGATCTCTCTGTCTCTCTCTTGGATAAATAAAATTGTAAATAAACAAGTAAACAAAGTATGATTTAAAGAAGAAATCACAGGGACACCTGGCTGGCTTAGTCAGTAGAGCATACAACTCTTGATCTCAGGGTTGTGAGTTCCAGCCCCATGTTGGGGGTAGAGATTACTAAAAAGATAAATAAAAATGGAGAAGAAATCACAGAACAAATTAAAAAATATTTTGAAATGAATAAAAATAAAAATATAACATTGAAATTTGTCAGATGTACCTATAGCAGTACTTACAGGGAAATTTATAGCATTAAATGTTTTAATTAGAAAAGAAGAAAGATCTAAAATCAACAATCCAAGCTTCCACGTTAAGAACCAAAGGAAAGAAGAGCAAATTACACCTAAAGTAAATAGAAGGATGGAAATGATAAAAATAAGAAACAGAAAATAAACAATAGCCAATGAAATTAACAGCTGGTTCTTTGAAATGATCAGTAAAATTGACCAACATCTGCCTAAATTGATAAAAAGGAGAGCAGACACGACTTACCACAATTAAGAATAAAGACTATAGAACTACAGACATTAAAAAATAATAGTGATTAATATGAATAACTTTATACAAATAATTTAAATGAAATGGATTCTTTGAAAGATCCAAACTCTCAAAGCTCTTTCAAGAAGGAATAAATAATTTGACTCTGTGCTATTTAAATTTGAATTCATAGTTAAAGAACCTTTATACACATATACATGCATGCATGTGCACACACACACACACAAAACCTGCATGCCCGGATGCCTTCATTGGTGAATTTTCTCAAACATCAAAAGAAGAAATAATATCAACTCTCCACAACTTACAATATAAGAGGGAGCACTTGTCAACTCATTTCATGATGTTAGCATTACAATGATATCAAAAATGACAGCAAAATTACAGGAAAAGAAAAAGAAAACTACAGACCAATATCTCCCATAAACAGATACAAAAACCTTAACAAAATATTACCAAGTCCAGCAATATATTAAAAAGATCATATATCATGAACAAGAGAGATTTATCCCACAAATGCAAGGCCACTGAAACATCTGGAAACTAATCAATAATTCACCATATAACCAGAAAAAACATATAATCATTTCAACTGATGCAAAAAAAGCATCTGAAAAAAATTCAATATCCACTCAACATAATGGATCTCAGGCAACTAGGAATGGAGGGGGACTTCCTCAACCTAATAACATAAAACTTATAGTGAAAAAACTAAATGCTTTCTACCTACGATCAGAAACAAAACTGAGAGCTTTCCCCCTAAGGTCAGGAACACAGCAGGGATGTCCACTATCACCACTGCTATTCAACATAGTATTAGAAGTCCTAGCCACAG